TCGTAGACACTGCCTCAAGTTGAAGAAACAGTACTCAAGACTGACTATCCGCCGCAACTTTTTCAGCCTGCGTGTGGTTGACTTGTGGAATGATCTGCCAGAAAGCGTTGTCACATCCAAGACTGTTAACTGTCTCAAGTCCCGCCTCGACCATTACTGGTCAAACATCACCTTCACTTTGGACTATGTGACTGTTGCCAGCTTCCATAGTATATAAAGAACAGTGATCTACTTATTTATGAGCGACTAAAAGGCCCTAGGCCTACTACAGCCGTATCCTATTGATTGATTGAAGCACTCATTCTATGTTTTGTTGGATTGAATGCTGATTTTATCAAGTTGATTAAAGTGATCTCTAGACACATTTTGAAACAAAGTATTGTATTTGTATTGCTCCCACAGAGCCAAAGTTCCTCTGTGGCTCGATCAAATAAGGGTGTTCCACAGGGATCCATTCTCGGCCCACGGTTATTTTCAGTTTACATGCCTCTTCTCAGTCATTTCTCACAGATCAAGCATTGGGTTGTTCTGTGTTAATATCAGTAAGACCAAGGCTGCCCAAGTACACACTATACAATGTTGTTGGGCCTTTTAAAGTTGCATGACGAAATACACCTTGCTATTCTTTTCTAAGGTCACAACTTAGCATTTTAGTTAGAAAAGGCAGACCTGTTAGTAAGAATGAGTTGTACAGTGTTTTCAGATGTTATCTTGAAATCAGCACATACAAGTTCCACATTTCTGTGAATTCTGATGAAAAAGGAGGAGGCTTAGTTACAAGTTATTGCTGACTAACATTCATTATATGAAAGTCGGAGCTGTTTGGTTTAATTCTGCATCAATACCAAAACCAATCCATACTAAAATAATTACATGAAGGAGTTTACACAAGTATACCTTAACTATTTTCCAATGAACATATACCAAAAATGTAAAATAGATTTTCAAAAACCCAGAGAATTCAGAGTTAACTAAAGTTTGAGAAACTGCTAAGTATAATATAATACCTTAAAGTCACCTCATAGTGGCCTACTAAAAGTATTAAAAATAAGATATAATCTTAAGAATCTAGAAGTTTATCACAGCCAAAACTAAGCATGACACGTTAAAAGAGTATTTTTAGAGACTTGAGAAAATACCAAGCGAAGCAACCTCTGAGTCGCTCAATGAAAAATGCCACAGGGCAAAATTAAAACACTTAGTCACTATAGGGAGAAAGACCTCATTAGGTATAATATGCTAAGGTCTATACTACACTAACATATTGGAAAAAAGTCAAGGACACAAACAATTTTTTTCCATACTTTATCATTTTTGCCATGATATAGTTAGTAATGCACTGTATAACTTATCATTAAAGTTAATACTGATAAATATGTTCAGTTCATTTTTAGTATTGTCAAAGGAGTCCCTTTCAAGTTTACTTAGTAAAAAAAACTAGTAAAAAAGCTTATTGTTGAGTTGGCTGTATGTGCGCCTACTTGTAAAAATTTAACAATTATGCATATATATATATATATTTTTTTTTAAAACATTAAATAATAGCATGTCCATAAAATACAATTTATAGTGATAAAAAAGACCAAAGCTAGAGATAGCAACTTCATGTAATAAATGTGTTGCGTAAAAGCCTTGTGGTATGTCAAACAGAGGAACTTGAAAGATGAAATTAGCTGATAAGTAGCTCCTAATGCTTCATTACATAATATGCATATCCAATAAATACTATTTATGACTTCAAACTTAAAAGTAATAAAAGAAGTGAACATACAGTATAATGAGAACAAGTTAGACATTTAGGAAAATGTATGATGTCTTTTTGACCCTGAGTTGAACTACTTTATTCACTGAATTCAAAGAAGTGAATAGGGCGGTGACCTCAGGGTGTTATTTTGCGAAACTCAGAACACACACTTAGTCCCTATAGGGAGAAAGACCTCACTAGGTATCATATGCTAAGGTCTATACTACACTAACATATTGGAACAACAATAGTGGCAAAAGTCAAGGACACAACATTTTAGCTGTAAGGAAGATACACTAATGTACATTCTCAAAATATTGAAGTGACTGTTATTTTGTATATATTGATTGTTGTGTTTTTATTTAGGTATTAATGTGTGCACATGTAAAAATGTGTCTTTGACTGTGTATATACATACATATTTGCACACATATTTTTATTTTCATATTTGTATATTCTATATACATTAGTTTATATATTTGGGATTGTGGGAAACAGTATTTCGATCTCTCTGTCTGTACACACAAACTGGAAGATTGACAATAAAGTTGACTTTTGACTTTGACAAGTGGCATCACTGTAGCACAAATACTGTCTGTTAGTGCATGACACAAGCAAAGCACAAGCAAAGCAGAAGTGAACTAAAGGGATCATTTTTGACCTAATATATATATAAAATACAACTCTATTTTAGGCCGGTATTGAACCATATTTGTGTAGGCAAGGCAAGGCCAGGTTCTGTATTTAAAATAAGCCAATTTCTTGATGATGAGTATTTAAAATAAAAGATTAAGACATCATTGCACTTTTGCATCATTGCATTGAGTTGAACTATCTCTTGGCGTGTTTCACCTTGCAAAACATTGCACAAACCATGAGTAAGCAAAATCACCCCACGCTATAAAAAGAGATGTCAACTATCCACCAACCCACAGAGATTTACACCACCTGTAGTTCTCACACTGCTCGACATCATTTAGAGGAAAGAAGTGAGTATCACATCTTTGTTCATTTATGCTGATAATTACAATTGTATATATAATATCATGCATAAACCATGACAAAGGCGGTATAAACATGTGTTTGTTTGTTTACAGGATGAAGTGCACCACCGTCTTTCTGGTGCTGTCGATGGTGGTCCTCATGGCTGAACCTGGGGACGCTTTCTTTGGCCACCTTTTCAGGGGGATTGTTAGCGGTAATCATTAAAAAACTAAAATGTTTTAAACGTTTGACATAGCTTGTGTAAATAATCCTTATATTGATGCATGAATGGTTGTGCTAACCTGAGCCTCAATATTGTAAAGGTACGACAGATATGTTCAGTTGATTTTGAAAACTGTCAGATATCTAAAGATATATAGAATATAATAATAATTAAAATATTTCTTTAATTCTTTATCAAGTGCTTGCAAAGATAAACACATAAAAGGTCAAAATAAAATCTCACGAGGATACAACATTAATCACATATTAAAAGCCAGTCTACAAAAGTGAGTTTTGTCTGTATGTATCAAGTAGGAACTAACTTTATTGCAAACAATTATATTTTTTGAATCAATTTTGTAGCTGCAATATTTTAATTACATTTTAAAAGGGCTTACAATGTTTTATGATAAATTAGATTACTTCGAAATACTACAAATAATAATGCATGTCTTTTTTTCTCTCTTTTTAGTTGGCAAGCATATCCATGGGTAACGACATCTTCTTGATATTTCTCTTATTTCTCTAAAAATGCTCTTGTTGGCTTGGTTTTAAATATCTGAACTGAACTCTCTGAATCCTCTCTTCATCATCAGACTCATCACCGGGAGAAACCCTATTGAGCAGGAAGCGATGAAGGAAGCGATGAGGGAGCAGGAAGCAATGGACCAACAAGCGTTTGACCGAGAGCGAGCATTTGCCTGAGTCTACGATGTTGAACTACGCTGAACATTTTGACAATGAATCGCTTTTTATCTAATAATGAAAAATAAAATTGAATAAATGTAATTTGGAATAAATCTTCTTTCTTATACAGCAAGCCATTTTTCCTGTGTCTTATTTAAAGGTCACCTAATATGCAAAATGCACTTTTTGCTGTCTTTTATACATAAATATGTGTCCCCAGTGTGTAAGGAGACTCACAAAGTGTCAGAAAATACAACCCTCTCTCTTTTCCTCCTTACCCACAACTCTAATAACGGGGGTACAACGGAGCTGATCCAGATTTGCTGAAAACTTGACTTCGATACTAAAATGTGGGCTGGCTTTACATTAAAGGTGGGGTATGTAATTTATTTCAGAAACACTTTTTGTTATATTCAATGGAATGCTCTTAACATCCCGATAGCAATGAATATATTAAATGCTTTGACAATAAATACATTCAAAAAAATTCATCTGTGGAAGCCGTGGCGCTGTAAAAAGCACGACCAATCATCTGAGCCGGCCTGGCTAAAATAACTGGATGGCCTACCTGCCTGTCAGCCTTCCATCTCATGCACAAACTTATCTCGTGCCCTCATTGGTCATGTGCGCGTTCGTGTGTGTTGAAGGAGGGGCTCTGTAAGGAAGTCTGAAGGAAGAGGCAGATTTTTTTCGGCTGCGTACTTTCAAATTCTAGCGCACTCAAGCTGTTTTGGAAGTAATATGGTCTGTGTTGACATTAGCAAGCATCGCTAACACTCAGAGCTAATGCTGTACTGGAGAGAATATGTGTAAAAAAGCAGGATATAAAAGGTACTGTCCTTGTGGTAAACCTGCGAGAGAGAAAGCGTTTGAGCTCCATAATGTTTTAGAAATAACACTGCCAGCAGCAGCTCATTTACATTTAAAGGGCCAGACCCAGAATCAGCACTTCTGTAACAGTTCTGAAATAAAGGGGTATGAGGCATGGCTGCAATGGGTGATCTGTGTGGTATTTTGAGCAAAACACTTCAGAGACATGTTTTGTATAGATATGGCCCTATATGTCATTGTTCAAATATAGCATAACAGGTGACCTTTAAGGCCGGTATCGGAAAATATTTGTTTACACAAAGAAAAAACAAACATTAAGAATTTAGAGCATAGGTTTTCAAAGTCTGACAATCAAAACCTTTCCCAGGCAAGTTCTGCATTTAAAATAAGCTGCTTTTTTGATGATTATTATTTAAAAGAATCATTAAGACATCATTGCATTGAGTTACACTTGCTCTTGGTGTGTTTCACCTTGCAAAACATTGCACAAACCATGAGTAAGCAAAATCACCCCACGCTATAAAAAGAGATGTCAACTATCCACCAACACCACACCACCTGTAGTTCTCACACTGCTCGACATCATTTAGAGGAAAGAAGTGAGTATCACATCTCCGTTCATTTATGCTGATAATTACAATTATATATATAATATCACGCATAAACCATGACAAAGGCGGTATAACCATGTGTTTGTTTGTTTACAGGATGAAGTGTACCACCGTCTTTCTGGTGCTGTCGATGGTGGTCCTCATGGCTGAACCTGGGGACGCTTTCTTTAGCCAGCTTTACAGGGGGATTGTTAGCGGTAATCATTATTAAGAATATATCTTTGACATAGCTTGTGTAAATAATCCTTATATTGATGCATGAATGGTTCTGTACATGTAGCTAACCTGAGCCTCAATATTTTAAAGGTACGACAGATATGTTCAGTTGATTTTGAAAACTGTCAGATATCTAAAGATTCTTTAATAATTATAATACAATAATAATAAATAAGTAAATAAAATACAAATACAAATAATAATATATTATAATAATAATAATAATAATAAGTGCTTTTTGCTCAAAGATCCTTGGCAAAGATACAAAGATAAAAGTCCAAATAAAATTTCACATAACAATATTTGAAAATAGGATACAACATTTATCATATATTAAAAGCCAAGCTACTTTATTTTAATCAAATAGGAACTAACTTTAAAATAACATTTAATACAATTTTAGACCAATAAGGGAACAATAATGTTTTGTATTACACATGTTGAACTTGCAATATGTTAATGAATGTTTAAAAGGCCTTACAAGGTTTTATGATTCATTAAATTACAAATAATAATGCATGTATTTTTTTGTTTGTTCTCTTTTTAGTTGGCAAGCATATCCATGGGTAAGGACCTCTCCTTGATATTTCTCTCATTTTAAAGTGCTCTTGTTGGCTTGGTTTTAAACATCTCAACTGAACTCTCTGAATCCTCTCTTCATCATCAGACTCCTCAGCGGGGAAACCCCTAGGGAGCAGGAAGTGATGAAGGAAGCGATGAGGGAAGCGATGAAGGTGCAGGAAGCGATGGACCAACAAGCTTTTGACCGAGAGCGAGCGTTTGCCTGAGTCTACGATGTTGGAGCAAATAAAATGCTTTCATCTTCAAAATAAAGAAAATAAAATCGACTCATTATGCTAACTATTGCATAATACTGTTATTATTGATTTAAATGTCATTTGGAATAAATATTCTTTGTTAAACAGCAAGCCATTTTTCCTGTGTCTTATTTAAAAGATAATATCTGAATAACAAAAGATGGAAATTAAGTGTTTTGACCTTTACCCGATCTCAAATCCCAATTGTACTATAGGTGACAAACTAAAGATGAAATTAGTGTCAATTCATGCACTACATGGTGAAAGGAATCCTGAAATACAATAAACAGAATGTCAACATATGTCGTTATAAGAGTCATGCCTAAATACAATCATGCTTTTTTATCTATCTATCTAATTCAGAGTAAAACAAAATAAACAAAGCTAGATGTAATAACTTATCATAATATAAGTAGTGGTTAATAGCTGAGGCTTCCACATACGTTATAACTTAATATGAATCATGAAAAATAATAATATGTATTACTTTAAACTCAAAATTAATTAGGGAAGTGAACGTATAATAAGAAAAAATGACATTTTCTTCAGAAATAGGGACATTTATCTTTACACTTGAATGATGAGTAATTGAAGAAGTGACCACAGGGTCTGTTTTACCTGTTTCCTGGCAAGCATTGCAAAAACCAAGTAAGGGAAATGTTTAATCGCTATAAAAAGAGACATGTACCATCGACCAACCCAGAGAGATTTTTACCACCTGCAGGTCTCACACTGATAGAAGCCCTTTGTCCTTTCATCAATAAAATACAATTTAGAGTAATAAAAAAGACCAAAGCTAGAAACAGCTACTTAATGTAATAAATGTGTTGCGTAAAAGCCTCCTTGTATGTCAAACAGAGGAACTTGAAAGATGAAATGAGCTGATAAGTAGCTCCAAATGCTTCATTACATAATATGCATATCCACTAAATACTATTCATGACTTCAAACTTAAAAGTCATGAACTTCAAAAGAAGTGAACATATAATGAGAAAAAGTTAGACATTTAGGAAAATGTATGATGTCTTTTTGATCCTGTGTTGAACTACTTTATTCACTTCTTTGAAATATGAATTCAAAAAAGAGAATAGGGCGGTGACCTCAGGGTGTTATTTAGCGAAACGCAGCACACACCCAGAGTTGGGGACGTTCTAAACCCCGTATATAAACAGATGTATAACCAAAAAGAGATTCACACAACCTGTAGATCTCTCTCTGCTCGACTGATAACAGCTTTGACTTTGAGGAAAGAAGTAAGTATCTCATCTTAATTTATGCTGAGAATTATTACTGTAAATATAATATAACGTAATGACACAGGCAAACATATGTTTATTTTGGGTTAATGATGATTCAGTTTTTTTCCTTAAGCTAACATATAGAAGTTAGGTAAGACATTCTGTAAGTAAGTATTTAATGTTTAAAGTTGCAAATCAAGATATGGAAAGACTCTGTTGTCATCGTCTAGACAGAACATCATATTGCACATGCTGTGTTTTTGTTTTTCAGGATGAAGTTTGCTATGATGTTCCTGGTGTTGACGCTGGTGGTCCTCATGGCTGAACCTGGGGAGGCTTTTTTTCACCACATTATACATGGTAAAGATTTTTAGATTGTATTTATATATATATTTATTTATTTTTTACATTTTTTACATGCCATAGCTGGGAATGCATTGGTATAACTGATCATTAAAGCTAACCAGAACATTAATAATTTAAAGGTGGGGTATCTAATTTATTTCAAAAAAACAATTTTTGTTATATTCCATGGAATGCTCTTGACATCCCGATAGCAATGAATATCTTAAATGCTTTGATAATAAATACATAAAAAAATGTCATCTGTGGAAGCCGTAATACTGTAAAAAGCACAACCAATCATGTTAGCCGGCCCGGCTAAAATAACTGGATGGCCTACCTGCCTGTCAGCCTTCCATCTGTGCACAAACTTATCTCGTGCCCTCATTGGTCATGTGCGCGTTCGTGTGTGTTGGAGGAGGGGCTCTGTAAGGAAGTGGCAGATTTTTTCCGGCAGTGTATTTTCAAATTCTAGCGCACTCAAGCTGGTTTCTCCAAAATTACCTACCCCACCTTTAAGGTACCGACATATATGTTAATTTAGAAAAAATGTCAAATATCTTAGGATTCTTGGCGTAGTTTTCTTATGTTTTCGACAAATCATGATATTGTTGGGCTGCCTTGTGATTGAAAAAAAAGAAAATAGGTAACATTTTGGAAGTCTGTCCTTTTTATGGTAATTTGAAAAAAAGTATATAACACAAAGAAAGGCACTGCAAAAAAAGTTCAGTTTTGTTATCAATATTACAACTGCAATATATTAATGAATATTTCAATATGATAACTTTTACTACACACAAACATTAATAAAATGTCCTTTTTGTTTTGTTTTTCTCTCAAGCCATCAGTCAGTAAGTTATTTTGCTTGTTTAATTTTATAATAAAAAATGGCTCTTGTTGAATTATTTGGTGAATTCCTGAGCTGAACTCTTTGAATCTCCTCTCTCCACCCACCAGCATATTCGGGAAAAACAAATACGAAGTGATGAAAGCGCAGGAAGCGATGGAACAACGTGCGCTCCAACAAGAGAACGACTTTGCCTGAGTCCATGATGGTCCATTTGAAAAAACAAATGCTTTCTTCTGCTTTTCTTCAACATAAACATTGAATCAACCTATCTGTTTTAAATTTATCTATTTTTCATTTGGAATAAATCTGCATTGCATTGCAAAAATCATCTATCTCTTGTATTATTTTAAAGGAACATTTATTAAATCAGGATGGAAATGATGTGAATTGTGTGTTATGGAATTAATACAATCCCAAAGACATGAAACACCATGTGGATGAAGTGCACCACTATCTTTCTGGTGCTGTCGATGGTGGTCCTCATGGCTGAACCTGGGGACGCTTTCTTTAGCCACTTTTACAGGGGACTTCTTAGCGGTAATCATTATTAAGAATATATTTTTTACACGTTTGACATAGCTTGTGTAAATAATCCTTGTATTGATGCATGAATGGTTGTGTACATGTAGCTAACATGAGCCTCAATATTTTAAACGTATGACAGATATGTTCAGTTGATTTTGAAAACTGTCAGATATCTAAAGATTCTTTAATAATTATAATACAATAATAATAAATAAGTCAATAAAATACAAATACAAATAATAATATAATATATTCAATAATAATAATAATAATTATAAGTGCTTTTTGCTCAAAGATCCATGGCAAAGATACAAAGATAACAGTCCAAATAAAATTTCACATAACAATATTTGAAAATAGGATACAACATTTATCATATATTAAAAGCCAAGCTACTTTATTTTATTCAAATAGGAACTAACTTTAAAATAACATATAATAACAATATTTAATAAGGTATGACAGATATGTTCAGTTGATTTTGAAAACTGTCAGATATCAAAAGATATATAGAATATAATAATAATTAAAATAATAATCATACTAATAATAACAACAATTCTTTATCAAGTGCTTCAAAAGATAAAAACATAAAAGGTCGAAATAAAATCTCATGAGGATACAACATTAATCACATATTAAAAGCCAGTCTAAAAAAGTGAGTTTTGTCTGTATGTACTTCTTTTTTTAATCAAGTAGGAACTAACTTTATTGCAAAAAATTATATTTTTTTATCAATTTTGTAGCTGCAATATTTTAATGTAATTGTAAAAGGGCTTACAATGTTTTATGATAAATTAGATTACTTCGAAATATTACAAATAATAATGTATGTCTTTTTTTCTCTCTTTTTAGTTGGCAAGCATATCTATGGGTAACGAATTATTCTTGATATTTCTCTTATTTCTCGAAAAATGCTCTTGTTGGCTTGGTTTTAAATATCTGAACTGAACTCTCTGAATCCTCTCTTCATCATCAGACTCATCACCGGGAGAAACCCTAGGGAGCAGGAAGCGATGAAGGAAGCGATGAGGGAGCAGGAAGCGATGGACCAACAAGCGTTTGACCGAGAGCGAGCGTTTGCTTGAGTCTACGATGTTGAACTACGCTGAACATTTTGAAAATTAATCGCTTTTTATCTTCAAAATAATGAAAAATACAATTGAATGAATGTAATTTGGAATAAATCTTCTTTCTTATACAGCAAGCCATTTTTCCTGTGTCTTATTTAAAGGTGACCTAATATGCAAAATGCACTTTTTGCTGTCTTTTATACATAAATATGTGTCCCCAGTGTGTAAGGAGACTCACAAAGTGTCAGAAAATACAACCCTATCTCTTTTCCTCCTTAGCCACAACTCTAAAAACGAGGGTACAACGGAGCTGATCCAGATTTGCTGAGAACTTGACTTCGATACTAAAATGTGTGCTAGCTTTACATTAAGGATGTCTATGAGACTTAGAGTGAAGTTGTTATATATATAATACACACAATGGCACTGTTCTAGCGGTGAACACTGAATAAAGAACATGTCAAGCTATGTGCTGTATCCAAAACAATGTGCGACATGTTTTGGAAGTAATATGGTCTGTGTCGACATTAGCAAGCATCGCTAACACTCAGAGCTAACGCTGTACTGGAGAGAATATGTGTAAAAAAGCAGGATATAAAAGGTACTGTCCTTGTGGTAAACCTGCGAGAGAGAAAGCGTTTGAGCTCAATACTATTTTAGAAATAACACTTGATGCGAATGCTCCAAAGGGGCGTGGCCAGCAGCAGCTCATTTACATTTAAAGGGCCAGACCCAGAATCAGCACTTTTGTAACAGTTCTGAAATAAAGGGGTATGAGGCATGGCTACAATGGGTGATCTGTGTGGTATTTTCAGCAAAACACTTGACATGTTTTGCATAGATATGGCCCTATATGTTATTGTTCAAATATAGCTTAATAGGTGACCTTTAAGGCCGGAATCGGAAAATATTTGTTTACACAAAGAAGATACAAACATTTAGAATTTAGAGCATAGGTTTTCCACTATACTGTAATTTAAAGGAAGCAAGGCCTGATAGTTTGGAAAAATATAATTCAGGTGCTTTCTTAATGGTTCAACATAACAAAAAATTTGAGATTATCAAAAATGCTAAACTGCACACCAGAGAACTTTCTTTTTTGTAAGTGCATTTGCCCATGAACAAAAATAAATGCAAACTTGCTTTTACTTGCTGAGCCCGATGCCACTGAATTATTGTTTACTTTTTTGTGTTGCATGCTATTTAATTGTCCACTGTGCAGGCCCAACAGGCTGCCATGCCATTCGTATTTGTTGGAAAATATGTCTGATGTTATATTAAGTGTGAAAACTTTGAATTGGAGCCCTACTGATCAAAGCGGGATGTGAAAACTTTGAGGAAAGTAGTTTATAAAGTAAGATTAATTTAAAGGATACTGCTCAGAGATTTCAAAAATCAACCAAACCTCAAAATAAGACCTAAAGAAAAACTATTATATATAACAAAATAATATTGTAGTTTTTTGCCTCTGGATTAACAAATTACTTGTATTAAGAATAGAAAACGGCAAAGATGAACTGAAAACACCAGAAGAATTACTTGAACTTTGATGATTCTCTAAAAAAGGCTAGCAAAAGCTAATGGCAACAACCATTTCACACGGTTTCATGTATCGCTTACTCATTGTTGTTTTCTCCAAGTGGCAAGACAAGAGGAAACTGAGCATGGGGAAGTGATAAAATAATGATCAGCCTGTTAACACTGATACGGCAATTTCATTTCATTTAATCGTTTATTTGGCAGGGACAATGCACAGTAATGAACACTTAAAACATTAAAATGTATCAAGCGTAACAGTGCCAGATTTAGCTTTGAGCTCATTTCCATCCGCAGTCCCTCACATTAAACATTTAAGAAAATTACATTTTACAAACATAGCAAAAACAAAATACATGATATGCAAAAAGTGCAAGAGAGCAAGAGCAGCATACACAAGTATTTATGACATGGTAATACAATATAGCAGCTACGACATAGAAAGTGCAAGAGAAGATACAGGAGCTACAAAAAGTGCAAGAGGAGATACCCCTGTGTTTAAGTGCATTTAGCGGTGATTGCACGGATGTTTGTTTCTCAACCATTCTTTGACTTGACCTTTGAAGCTATTGAGAGTGGGACAATCCCGTATCTCAGTTGGGAGGCTGTTCCAGAATGAGCTGCCTTTAATGGAGAGGACATTTTGTCCAAAAGTGGTCCGTCTACAGTGGACTTCACAGTCTCCTCTGGTTTCTGACCTAGTGCAGCGTCCAGTGTGTTTTTTGTGGATGAATTACCCTAAGGGGGGGGGGGGGGCAGTCCATGTAAACATTTATAAATAAAACACATACTTTTAAAATACTTTAAATAGTTTTTTCAAGGATGGTACAGTGGTGGTATGAATAAGGCTTTCTGTCAAACACCTTGATAGCTCTCTTGTACAGCTGTTCTATTGGTTTCAGGTTTGTGGCACAAGCAAACGACCACTTTGTGAAACAGTATTAAATGTGGGATAGAATCATACAGTGGAGGTATGACTTTGCAGCATTGACAGTTAAGAAAGGTCTAATTTGTTTAAAATGTTGCAAGTTGAATTGAATGGCATTGGATACTTTCTTAATATGTTTCTTAAAAGTCAAGTTCGAGTCCATCATGACTCCAAGATACTTGAAGTGGGGGACTAGTTCTATTTCTGCTCCATTTAAAAACACATCGGATCCTTCGAATTTGACTGGTCGTTTACTGAACATTACGCATACTGTTTTTTTTGCATTTAACTGTAAGCAAATGTTGTTCAGCCAGTGTTGAACCTTGTCCAAAGCATTTGAGAGACAGGATGAGATAATTTCAGTGTTTTTCCCATGTACAAAGATGACCGCATCATCGGCATACATTTGCACATTCAAATCAGGACATACATTAGGCAAGTCATTCATGTACAGAGAAAACATTAATGGTCCAAGAATGGAACCTTGTGGAACCCCAACAGGGTTCACAAGGTAGGGGGATTTGGCACCGTTGACCAAAACACACTGTTTTCTGTTCGATAAGTAAGACTTAACCCACTGTATTGAATCTGCCGAAAAATTGAAATACGTCAGCTTTGTAAGGAGCACTTGGTGGTCAACAGTGTCAAAAGCCTTCCTGAGATCAAGGAAGACAGCACCTACATATGGGCTTGTGTCCAACATACATTTAACCTTTTCCACAAAGACACAGTTAGCTGTCTCAGTGGAGTGGTGAGCACGAAAACAAAACTGCATTGGGTGGAGTGGAGCGAAACCTTTGTCTAAATGTTTGGTGATTAGTTTGACACCCATTTCTCAGATACCTTAGAGACACAGGGGAGGATGCTGATTGGTCTGTAATTGGAAATGATTGCCTTATCCCCAGATTGGTGTCACCGTAGCCACCTTCCAGGATGATGGAAATTCCCTCGTGCTGATAGATTGATTTACTAACATAGTAATTTGTTGTATTAGACCGTCGATATGTGTTTTTATAAAGTTGGTGTCTAAATCATCTGCATCCCTAGCTTTAGAACCTCTTAACCCTAAGATTATATGTTTTACCTCAACCTCTGTGATTTCCTCCAGGTCAAAAAAGGGGTGTGTATCCACAATCGGGCTAGGTGAGACCTCAGATGGCGGGAAGAACTTTGTAATGTCCAGAGCAATGTTTATGAAATACTCATTTAGAGAGTTGGCCAACACTGCAGGGTCTTTTATCAGGGCATCATTGATTTTTAATTCTAGTACATTATTTTCCTGTTTGGTTTGTTTACCTAATAGTTTATTTAAGATTTGCCAAACCTTTTTACTGTTACCTTTCGCACCTTCAATTATATTGATGAAAAAGTTTGCTTTGGCCTGTCTTATTGTTTGTGTTACCTTGTTACGAGCATGAGTGCATTTCTGTCTGTCAGTGGATAGTCCGGATTTCAAGCTCTGCTTTAATAGTTGGTCTCTAGATTTCATTAGATTCCTGCATTGTAGATTCAGCCAGGGAAGATGATGTTCCTTCCTGTCCCTAAGGCACCCTCTCCTTGAGAAGGAAGACATTGTATCATTAATTTGAGATATAAACAGATCACTGTTTTCACCAATATCTTCAGAGGACAGAGTGTGTCCCCAATGAATCATTTTCACTGCATCCATAAAACGTTGTTGCAGGTTTTTGGGGATGAAGCGTGAACCCAAGGCAGGGGTTTTAGGTGTGGCCATGAACCTTTTTTTTGTGAGTTTCCTGGCAAAAAGAACAAGATTATGGTCAGAAAGACCAGTCAGGAAGTTTTATGTTTTAACTATTCTGTCAGCTTTGTTGGTAAATGCTAAATCTATCATAGTCTTGGAGGTTTTGGTTATTCTAGTCGGTTGATCCATTAGTTGTATTAAGTTGTGTTTATCCGTGATCCGTTTTAAGCTTTTTCTATTTTGTTTGTCATTCCAGTTGATATTAAAGTATCCTACAATAATTAGCTCTTTGTTGGAGTCACAGGAATTCAGCAGGAGTTTTACCTGGTCATAGAAATCCACCTTAGCGGTGGGTGGTCGATAGCATATCATGGTGAGGGACATTTCCTCAGATAGTGTGATTTCCACACCAACACAATCAAAATCAACATTAGCTGGGAGTGCAATCTCCCTACAAGTAAAGGTATCCCTCACATAAAGCAACACACCCCCTCCTTTTCCCTTCAGTCTGTCCTTCCTAAACACATTATATCCTGACATAGATACAATAGTGACGACTGTTTTAGCCAAGATTCAGATATTCCCAAACAGTCAATATTGGACTCAAGGAGGAGATGTTCTAACTGTTCATGTTTGTTGCAGATGTTGTGGAAATTTAAATGGCCACTGAATAGTCCCTTCGGCTTGCACCGAGGATCCCACACTATTTTTGCTTGATTCAATGTTTGAAACATTTTTGTGTAACGGTGTTTTTTAAATACCGGATTTCTAGGCTTTACCTCTGTGCCGTTGTTGATAGTGGAGCTAGCTGTTGGTTTGTGGTTCTCTGTTGCTAGGCCACTAGCCATCGGCGCGGACCCACAGTCCCATTTTAGCTGTAAGGAAGATACACTAATGTACATTCTCAAAATATTGAAGTGACTGTTATTTTGTATATATTGATTGTTGTGTTTTTA